CATGAGCTGATGCCTTGACTGTTCCCACCAGGGGATTCCTGCTTGCTGAGGACACAGCACAGGGCTGGGGCTCAGTCCGGTGTGACAATTTGGTCAGAGCAAATCTCCGCATCTGGAGCTCCCGGGGCAAGGCAGCCCTGCCTCGGGGGAGGAGAATGAATATTTCAAAATGTAATCAGAGTCATTGGGGAAATGTGACAGGATTTAAACGATGACATAACACGCTTGTCTTGTCTTTGCTGCCGGTGCTAATGAGCATGAATTGAGAGCATTAGCGATCTATCCACGGGCATTAGTGCGTGTGAGGCAGGGGATCGCAGCCCTAATTAGTCTCATCCTCGGCTGCCAGCGCAGCCACTTCGCCTGCCCGCCGCTCTGGAGTTACTCAGGCTTTACCACAGCCCTGCCCATCACCTACACCTGGTTGTAGCTGGGTTTATCACCTTTGTTTCTCTAAGAGAAGCCTGAGGGCTTTTTCCTGTCTTCTGGCAAGTTTCAGGATTGTGGTGACATCTCTGAGAGGGTTTTTTGATCTGTTTTCTCTTGGCAATTTGTCACTTTAGGAGAACTTTAAGCATTCAGAACAGAATTTTTGTGTGCGTGTGTGTTTGTTTATTGAAACTACTATTTCTCCCAAAAGTCTCATCTCTGCAAGAAAACCAGAAGGGTTGGGCTGGAAACAAGCAAATAAAAACCTGCAGAGAAAGGATCCAGAATTCAAGCTTGTCCTGCCTGTTTTTCCTGTCTCCCCAAGCTCCTAATTCCTCACTGTGGGATTTTCAGTGGAACATCACAGAGCCCCATCAGAAGGTCTGGGCTGGCCACGGGATGCTGGGTGGGAATGGAGCCAGCTGAGCTTCTTGGGCAGGAGATTGAGCCTCTGGCATGTCCCAGCCTCTCCCTGATGGTAGGAAATGAATTTTGGAAAATCAAACGGCCGATATGATGGATTAGATGTCGTTGCCCCACTACATTTAATCGATGGCAGCGGGTATTTATTGCATTATATACTGCAAATCTATAATGATTAGTACCTCATTAACCTTTTCTTTTCTTTTGATTGTCTTCCTGCAGTGTTGTAATAAGGGAGCCCAGAGCTCTGCATCCCTCCCCAGCCTGGCAGGGATGGGTTTGCAGGCTGCAGAGATGAGAGTGATGCTTTGGATGAAGAGTGTGACCCTGCAGCCCCATTATCCTCTAAATGAGTGGAAGAATCTCGGTGTAAATCATCCCAAGTAGGAAAGATGCTCATGGGTGGGTTCCAGGCTCACAAAGATCTCAGTCCTGTATTCCTGTGGCAATGGTTGAACAGGGAGCAAAACTCCCAGCAGTGCAAAGCTGGGCTGGGGAATTGAGGATGAATTTCCCGGTGCTCTGGCAGCACTCCAGGGCTGTCACAGCAGGAGTGAGCTGCTCCCCGGGGAATTTTTGGTGATGCACTTTCCCCTGGGACACAGACAGTCTCTAGATAGATGCACAGGGAAAGGAAGAGGCTCAGTGAGGAGCTGTAAGGAACACCCCCTTTCTGCCCTGTAGTTTGTCCCCCCAAATCTGTGCAATCAGACCTTGCAGCTGGGTTCTGCTGGCAGGGCTGAGCTGTGCTCCCGATGCAAACTTGCAGGGATAGTTTGTACCACTGCAGTCACTTCCACCACTGCAGAAATGCTTGGGAAGCTGGCCCATAAATCCTGCCAGACTGACAGCCTTTCACAACCTGCAGACTGATAAATGTGTTTGAATTAGATAAATGTTTTCAAATGAGATAAATACCTTCCAATTAGATTAGCTCTGTGTGAGTTTGTCAATTCCCAGTGTGAGTGAAGCCCCTGATTTTCCCACCTGCTGGGAGGCTGAACTTGTGCAAATGAGTTCTGCAGTGCTCAGGTCTGATGTGAAATTGTTGGCTATATTAACAGAGCTCTTCAGAAAGAGACTGTACTTCTCCCAAATTCATTTGGTACTCCCCAGCCAGCCCCTGACACAAGAGGGATGTGGAGCTGCTGAAGTGAGTCCAGAGGATGTGAAGGTGCTCTGAGAGCTGGAGCCCTTCTGCTCTGCAGATGGAGAGAGCTGGAATTGCTCAGCCTGGAGAAGAGAAGGATCCAGGGAGAGCTCAGAGCCCCTGCCAGGGCCTAAAGGGGCTCCAGGAGAGCTGGAGAGGGACTGGGGACAAGGGATGGAGGGACAGGACACAGGGAATGGCTTCCCACTGCCAGAGGGCAGGGCTGGATGGGATATTGGGCAGGAATTGTTCCCTGGCAGGGTGGGGACTGGCACAGGGTGCCCAGAGCAGCTGTGGCTGCCCCTGGATCCCTGGCAGTGCCCAAGGCCAGGTTGGACATTGGGGCTTGGAGCAGCCTGGGACAGTGGGAGGGGTCCCTGCCATGGCAGGGGGTGGAACCAAGGTGATCTTTAAGGTCAACCCAAACCATTCCATGGTCTCTCAGTAAAGCATGTCAGCCTGTGTGTGAGGTGCTGCACTCCAAGAGTAGCCAAGACCTCCAGCAGGGTGAAGTCCCTGCCTGAAGGGTGGAGACTGGGCTGGGGCACTGATGGACCCAGCAGGAGGAGAATTCAGGGTTGGAGGCATCAATTTGCACCCTGTGCACAAGATCAACCCCAAATCATGCAGAAAGGCACCACTGAGGACAAAGAGCCTGTGCTCTCCCTCCATCCTACAACTTCCCAGCCAGGTCTCTGCCATCCAGCTCATCTGGTGGGAATTTTGGACTTGCTTGGCAATTTCTACAGTGAGTAAACCCAGTCCTGTGCAGTAAGTTATTCACAGCCCCAAGGCTGCCTCCCTCAGCAGGTGCTCCCTATGGCACAGCTCCACAATCATAAAATGGCCTTACAATGGTTTGGCTTGGAAGGGACCTTAAAGCTCTTCCAGCTCCAGACTCCTGCCATAGTCAGGGACACCTCCCACTAACGAGGGTCAGGAAACTCACCTGTCCTATCCAAGGACAGCCAGCCCTCAGGAACAGGCTCCGTGTCCTTAAACACCAAATTGAGCAGTCAAGGTGCCCAAATCAGAGAGCAGGCACTGACCTGATCCTGTGCCAGTGGCAGCTCTGCCTGCCCGTGACACCCAGGCCCACCCGTGACTTAGCCATGATTTGTGCTAGGCATTAAAAGGGAAAAAAAAAAAAAGCTGATGACGCAAGTGGCTTTTTCTTTCAGGCATTTCAAGCAGGACTGGAGAGTGCATAAGTGCAAGAAATTGCTGGAGAGGGGAGGAGGATTGCAGCTCTTAAATCATCTGGCTCTGCCATGCAGGGTTACACTCAGTGGTGTTGGCACCGTGGAGAGATCACTGCAGGCAAATCAGGGAGGAACCTGTGCTCCTTGGAAAGGCTTTTTCATCAGAAAATGGAGCAAATGTAGGTTTGTTGGAATGTGAATTGCTCTGACTTAGGGCTTTAGTAAGTGTCACAGCATTCCAATGGCTTGAAATCAAAATATGGCTGGGTGAAACTATTGCTGTCTGTTTGATTTGATTAAGTTTTAATCCACACTATCTAAATGAGTGATAAACTCTAAGCCCGTGGTGTCCACCCCATGGAAACATTAGAGTTTGGTGCTAAAATTCTCATCTTTGATGTTCTCTTGCACAACGGAAGCCACCAAGTTCCCATTCCAATGAAACTGTTTCAGGCTGGCTTTGCTTAGGTGCAGTCTGAGTGTGGCATTGAGCTATAGGAGATTTGTAGACATGCAGATATAGAAGGGTTTAAGGAGTGTCAGAGTTTCCTACCCCCTCTGCCTGCTTGGACCCTGCTCTTCAGGATCTGCCCCAGCTGGGATGTGTCAAACTGAACTTGGTCTGATGAAGCACAGCAACCTCCATTTATTGGAAACATTCATGTTATGAGTGATTTATGCTCATAACGCAGAGCTTAAAAAAGGTCTCTCTTGAAATGATGATTTCTCACTGCTTCTACAGCTTTCCTTCAAATCCAGCTTCTGCCTGTTATATTTGGAGCTGAAGAGATGGAGCATGAGCCTGCTCCCTGCACCCTGGGGAACTTGAGCCTGAACTGTGCTGGATTCAGTTTTGCTGCAGGGGGAATGGTGCTGGAAGCCAAGGCACCCAGGAATTCTGCTGGAAAACCCTCTGGATGCTTCTCCCTCTGTGCTGGCTCCTTCTGTGAGCACTCAGCTGCAGCACTCAGCTGATTCCTGCACATGTCCAAGCTGTGCAAACCAGCCTGGCCAGGGACAGAGGATTGGGAGCCAATCTGCTAAACAGGGATTTAGCCAAGAGGCAGCCCCGAGTGCCAGCCCTCTCCTAATACTCTCTTAAGCAGCACAGGCAGCTGCTGCTTCCTCCCTGGCCCTCCTTGCAGTTCACCTCAGTCCTCCAACTGCAGCAAGGCATTTCCAACCAGAATTAGGTTTTCTTGGCTTCTTGCTACAGTGCCTTTTAATTAGGAGCACAGCTGCTCTGGAAACACAGAGCTCACTTTTCAAAGAGCGCCTCTGGAAAGTGATTACAGCGGATTAAAGTGGAAAGGTTAGGCAATTTATTCAGGTGGCACTTAGCAAACACATCGGATTATTTTGTGCTGCAAGGATGATTTAAAAACCCACAAGAATAACACCTTTTGGGCTCCTGCTGGCCTTGAGGGACTCTGCTGGGCAAGGCAGGGGGTGGAGCTGAAAGCTGTTTGGGAATGAGCAGCGCCCAGCTGCTCTGGAGCTCTCCAGTGTGAGTGGGTGCTGAGGTCCCACTGCCGGTGTCTGTGGGGTCCCCACAGTTAACAAAGGTTCAGTTCAGCCAGGAGCTGTCCCAGGAATTGTCGTGGACTCTCAGTGTTCACGAATCTTGTCTCCAGAGGGTGTTTGTACCTGGCATTGATCCTCTGCCCTGAGCACTTGCTGCCAACTGCCCCCGGCAGAGCTCCCTTTCCAAATCATCACAGAATCACTGAGGTTGGAAAAGATCTCCAAGATCATCAAGTCCAACCTTTGACTGATCCTCACCTTGTTACCAGCCCAGAGCACAGCGTGCCACATCCAGGCTTTCCTTGGACACCTCCAGGGATGGGGCTTCACCATCAATGGTTTGGGTTAGGAGGTCCATAAAGATCACCCTGCCACAGGCAGGGATACCTTCCACTGTCCCAGGCTGCTCCAAGCCCTGTCCAAGCTGATCTTAAACACTTACAGGGATGGGGCAGCCACAGCTTCTCTGGACAACCTGTGCCAAGGCCTCACCACCTTCCAATTTCTTCCCAAGAAATCCTGAAGGACCACTTTGATGTAGTGAGTCTGGCCCTTGGAGCCCTGCAGCCCTGCACAAATATTGCACACTGATGGGGGGCATTTATTCAGCAGCATTAGCTGGGCTGAGGAAGTTTGGAGAGGTTTTGCTCAGGTGTGGGAGCACTCCTGAGCCCAGGAGCTGCATGAACCCCCTCTTTCCCCTCTGGCCCAAGGCCATGTGCTGATCCCTCTCAACCACCTGGTTTAGTGTTCACAGCAGTGGAAAGGATAAAGCCCCCAGAAATCCATCACTTCAAAGGTGAGGCTCCATGAGAAGACCTCAATCCTTGTCTTCTCCAAATGAAAACCAGTGGGATCCCCTGTCTGGAGTGTATGATAAAGATCCAACTTGCCAGTGTGTGAACAATCTAAGTGTAAAACTTCTCCAAGGAGAAACTAAAACAGAGATCACATCCAAAGGAAAGGCTCAGAGCTGTCCTGTGGCAGCAGCAAGTGGATGGGGCATCCCAAGGGTGAGCAGTGTCTGCTGGCAGGGCTGTAGTGACAGCAAGAAAACAGAATTATTCCCAAATGCAGCTACTCTGTGTGCTTCTGCTGGGTAGCACTGGATTGGAGTTGTTCTGGGACTGGGAAACTGACTTTGTGATATTCTGGAGTAGTGCTCAAAAGATCAGGGACCAAGTGGCAGCACTGGGCAGCTCTGGCCGTGGAGCAGCCCTGGTGGCTCTGCTGGACAGGGGAGCCATGGATGAGCTGCTCCAGGCTGGAGCTAGCACCGAGCAGGGGCAGCTCTCACTGCAACTGCTCGTGTTCACACATTCAGAGTCTTCGTGTAGGATTCAAAGAGGCTGCAGGAGCTCAGACACTGCGCTGGTGGGAACAGCAGTGCTTTAAATAGAGGAGTCTGAGCGGGACTGAGCACTGGCATCGTGTCTGAGTGCAATTCAAAGACTTGCAGTACCTTGTTTGCCCTTCTCTCACTTTGTTTGGCTGATGTAGGCGTATTTTTGTTTTTACTTGCTTCTCTGTCCTATATTGTCCCTTTTCTTTCCAGTAATGTTGACTGTTCCATCTGCTTATTTATCAGCCACAGTTTGAACGCGAATTTCAATTAGCAATCTGCTTTGTTTAGTTTTGTTTTAAACAAGGCTTTGAGAGCTCCAACGAAGCTTTAATACATAAAGCTACTTGTAATGCAGCTGTTTAAGCTCTTCCATCATATCCATGAACAAAATGAATTCTACTGCTATCAAGATGCATCTGATGAATTAGGTTTAATCCTCCTCTACTGTAGCAGATGGAAGGCACTCCAACAAAGACAGAAAGATTTCAAATGACTGAGATGGAAAATGGTCTTTGCTCAGTACTCCAGAGACATAAAAGAAACTCAAACCTCACGTAGTAAGAAATAATTCATCCAGCAACCAGAAAAGCAGTCCCTGGATTTCTGCACTGATTCCTGATGCTTCTCTTTTGGATCTGAGGTCACAAGTTATGGGTGTGGAGGCAGAGAAGAGGGTGGCTACCTGTGCAGGAGCATCCCAGGTGAGAATGTGCCTCCCTGAATCCCACCTATCCAGGTTTGCAATACCGTGTGCCTGCCAGCTTCTTGATCATTGCATCTGGACCAGCAGGATCCCTCACCGTGGTGGTTGTGTTTGCTAAACGAGAAAGGGTTAATTGCTGTGAGTTTGGCGTGGACTCCAAACCCGACATCACCAAGTGATTTGGGTTGGAAAGAATCTTAGAGATCATCCCATTCCTGCCACGGGCAGGGACACCTCCTACTGTCCCAGGCTGCTCCCAGCCCCAGTGTCCAACCTGGCCTTGGGCACTGCCAGGGATCCAGGGGCAGCCACAGCTGCTCTGGGCACCCTGTGCCAGGGCTTCACCTCCCTCACTCAATTCTTAAGAACAATTTCTAAGATCTAATCTACATTTCTCCCTTTTAACAACGGCTCCAATCACAGATTCCTTCAACACCCCGTCAGTAACGATCGTGCCTGAATTTTGTTTAGGTGTGAGTCAAAGAAAGCCTGTGCTGAGCTGAACGGGTGACATCCCCAGCACCATAACTCAGCACTGTGAGGTAACAACGATCCCACACCTGGCACGCCGGGCAATGGAAAAACAGCCCCGCGGGTCAGGTAACGGCTCCGTGCGCCGGGGCAGGCTGTTCTCAGTGGAACCCGATCCCTTCGAGTGTCCTCCGCCGTGTGTCCTCCATCCCGCCTGCGCTCCCGTGCTGGGATGGAGGGGAGCTGAGGAAGCTCTGGGATGGACACGATCCATCCCGGGAGGGCTGAGGAAGGGTGGGAGCACTTTCCACCCCGCGCTGCGCTGAGCCGCGGGCAGGGCAGGGCAGGGCTCGGCGCGCTGATGAGCGGGCGCGCTAATTGCGGGTCCCGCGGGGGCGGGCGCTGGGGCGGGGCGGGGGGGTCCGGTCCCGCCGCCGGGGCCGCTCTGTATAACCGGTCTCCCGGCAACGGCGGCCGCGTCACTTCCTGGGGAGCCGCCGGCGAGAGCACGGACAGGTGGAGCGGCGGGGCCGGCCGGCACCGGTGTCGCTCGGGTGGCTCCGCTGCTGCCCCGCCTGGCTCCGCTGCTGCCCGGCGCGGCGCGCTCCGGCCGCTCCATCCCCCGGTGCGGTTGCGGTGCCGCGGCGATGAGCGCGGAGCTGGACGGCGTGTCCGTGCACTCCTCCTCCTCCTCGTCGGGCTCGCTGGGCTCGGCGGCGGGGCCGGCGCCGCGGCCGCTCTCGGCGAACGTGCGGCGGCTGCACCAGGCGCTCACGGCGCTGCTGAGCGAGGCGGAGCGGGAGCGCTTCATCCTCTGCCTCAACGCCTACCACGGCCGCCGCAACGTCTGCGACCTGGTGCGCTCCCTGCGCGCCCTCCTCGACGGGCCCCGCCGCCGGCAGCTGCTGCCGCTGCTGCGCCTCGTCCTGCCGCGGTCGGACCAGCTCCTCTTCGACCAGTACACGGCCGAGGGGCCCTACCTGCCGCCGCCCGGCCGCCCCCCGCCGCCCCCCGCCCCGCCGCCGGTGGTCCCGGGCGAGCTGCGGCAGGTGACGCTGCGCCGGAGCAAAGCCCACGAGGGTCTGGGCTTCAGCATCCGCGGCGGTGCCGAGCACGGCGTGGGCATCTACGTGTCCCTGGTGGAGCCGGGCTCCCTGGCCGAGCGGGAGGGGCTGCGCGTCGGCGATCAGATCCTGGGGGTCAACGGCAAGTCCCTGGACAGGGTGACCCACGCCGAGGCGGTCAAGGTAAGGCTGCTCCGGTGGATGTTTCCTCCATCCCGCCTTGCCGCGGGCTCCGCTGCGCGCCCCGTCCCGCTTTGCCTCTCCGCTGCCTGTCCATGTCTCCCCGCTCCTCCCTTCCCTCTCTGGGTCTTGTCTCCGTGCGCCCCGTCCAGCTCATCCCTCCCCGGCTCCATCCCCGCCAGCCGGTGGGAGCGGAGCCCCTCGGTGCCGCTCTCCGGGACGCGGCGCTGGGATCGCGCAGCCCTCGCCGAGCGGAGCCGCTCCGGGCTCGCATCGTGCGGGACCAGCCGTGCGCGGAGCCCGGCCGGAAAGTTTGCGGTGGCAATAGCGGTGCCAGCCACGGCAGGGACCGAGCTGCCGGGGTGGCTCTGGGCACGGCAGGCTCGTCCGGAGCTTTTGTCGCGCTTCTGAAACGCAGCGGCTCTGCTCGTGGCTCGCCTGCAGCCTGGGAAAGCTGGAAATCTGCCTGAGCCGGGTTTTAAGGGATGTACTCCAGCCGCTCTAGTGGGTTTCTCCTCGCAAAGATGGGGAAACTGAGGCACGGGGGAGCAGAATAGACCCTCAGCACCACCCCCCCGGGGCTGCATCGTCCCCGAGGCAGGAGCAGGTCCCTGATTCCTTTGCATGTTCCCGGGGGAGAAGGAGAACAGTTACACAACCGAAGGGCTCCCGCTCTCCCAGTACAGCTCCACATGCCCCGGAGACCTGTTGTAGCCATAACAGCATGGGGGCTATCGATAAAAGCTTTAATGTGGGGGGAGAACTCCATGAACTGTGGGATTTTCATCTGAAATGCGGCGTTCTGAGGCGAATCCAGGTCTGAGTGTCCCAAACCATTCCCAGAGCTGATCTTGTGGTTGGTGGGCTCTGCTCGGAGCGTTCCCGAGGCACAAACCTATCGAGCTGGAGAATCGACTTTTAGAGCAGCAATTTGCAGGCAGCGTATGGAGAGCTTAGATCTGGCGTGACAAGGCTGTTTTCCAGCTGTTTGTGCTTTAATTTATCCATAATAAGCTAAAGTGGTTCTGTTGGGAGCCTGCTCCATGTGGAGCGTTCCTCTGGCAGTGCATTAATCTTGCACAGCTTTGAACACTTCTTCCCTGCCGACCTGTGCGTTCCCTGCCCCGGCTTTAAATCAGTGCCCTGGGCAAGGGCACGACTTCCAGGCTGGAAATGAGTGCCTGGTAATCCTGAGAGCAGAGGAAACGTTTGTAGGAATTGTTTTTCTCTTGTTCCTAATGATAGGACAACAGCAGGGTAAGCTTTTAGTTGTTAGTCTGCAATTTCGTGCCTTGGAGATTGCAGCCCCCACATATTTTAGTTCTGGCGTTGGGATGGAGAGGAACCAGGTGTCAGGAATGCTCTGCTCCATGACTTCATCTCCAATTCATCCCACTCTGCTGGGTAATTCACATCACTTTCTGTTTGTTCTCTAATATAATGTAATTGATGCCTTTTAGACATTATTAATTTTGAGTGAAACTAAGTGCTTCCTGCACAGAAATAATTCCTGGAGGACGTGGCTTGCCAAGAGCTATATTTTGTTAATATGATCCTGATAGGAAAAAACAGCTTAGAAATTGTCTCCTTGTTGTTGAAAGACGTTCATCTCACAAATTCATCACTCGCCCTGTGCTGGCACCTTCTTGAGCTCCTGGGTTCTTTTCACATCTGGGAAGGGTTTTTATGACCCATCTTGCGGTGGTGGAAAGAATTTGCTTGGAAAGAGTGGCAGAGCAATTTACAGTACGGGTCTAATAAATCCTTGGGAGATTCTAAAATAACCAAGTGTTAATTCGCCCTGAGATGATGCATTTGAGAGGGGGGAAATGAAGCGATCACATTCAGCGATGCTCAAGGGCAGCATCTGAAGGTTTAAGGTACAAATACCCCAGCCCAATGTTTTGGGTGTTCAGTGTCAGAGCTGCAGGGACAAGAGGTGGTGATGGGTGGCTTCGTTTTGTGCTCTCTGCTTCTCCTTGAAACCTGGGATCTGAGGCTTGGGCTGGGTGCACTGACAGCTCTGCAAAGGCCTCTGGCTGTGGTTTGATGTCCCGAGGCAGAGCGAGCCTCGCCGTGTCCCCGGGCAGAGCGAGCCTCGCCGTGTCCCCGGGCAGAGCGAACCTCGCCGTGTCCTGCCCTCCTCGCTGGTGCCTCTTGCTCTGCCCTGCAGTGGGTCAGTGGAGAGGGAAACATCAGCTCAGAGTTTGGTGCTCATAACCCCAGGATTGGGGATTTGATCCCTTTATTGGCTGCTCACTTGAGAGCTGGCCTCGATGATCCTTGCGATGCCTTCTAACTCAGAATGTTCTGTGATAAACCAGAGCGGGAATTCGTGCACACGCTGCATTCGGGATCAAATAGAGAGAGCGAACGAGGAGAGAGACTTTGTTAACACCAGCCCCTGGCAGTGTAGCTGATCGCAGACACTGCCTGCTGCTTCAGAGGAGGGGCTGTGCCGAGCTGTGCGATCAGAGCTCGGCTCCGAGCAGCGATGCTCCGGCTCCTGTCCTGCAGCGAGGAGCTGTCCGGGCAGGGCAGCCCCGCCATCCATCACAGGCACGGCGTGCTGGGCTGACACGAGCTGTCAGAGCTCGTTCGTGGGCGAGTGCAGGGCTCGGGAAGGCTCCCAGGGCTTAGCGTGATGAACTTGCCGAGCCACGGATCCCGTCGGTGCCCGCCGGGCTGCTCGAGGTGCCGGCTGTGGCTGTGGCAGCTGCTCAGGCAGGGCAGGGGATAAATGCAATGTCTGGGTTTGTTTGTGCAGCCGTGGATGAGCATTCCCACGGCGGCCGCTGCGTTCCTTGACAAGTCGTGATAGCTCTGCTGCCTTTCCGTGCAGGAGCAGCCCGGCTGCTCCTATCCCTCCTCTCCAGGAGGAGTGGGGTGATGCCTTTGGGGTAGCAGCGGTTTCTGTTTGCTCCCGGGATTTTGAGGCATCGCTCAGTGATGCACCCAGAGCGAGAATTGCCACAACGCTGAGTGACCTGCGTGATGTCCCAGCTCAGAGCTCACTGCTGGCCTGGCACCGGTGCAGTGCTGTTTGCAGATGTGTTCAGCGTAAATGGGATAAAAAGTGGCATTCTGACTTCCACCACAAGATTACCTCAGCACTCCAAATCAATTCCCTTAATGACCAGCTCCTTAACCTTTACGTGAGCACGGGAGTTTTATGCCTTTTCTGCTCTGTGCTCGGCTGTTTCATCCAAATCCAAATTAAATGACTCCATTACAATTACAGCTCCATCATTGCAGCATTCCAGAGTGCACTTTAGCAAAAGATCACCAGCATTTGAATTATGGGGTGAGTGGGGAAGTTTGTGTTGTCTGCCATATTTTTAGAGCTCACTTGGCTTTTATCAGCCCTGCTCTTTAGGACATGATATAATGTCTATACACTATATATATATATATATTTCTTTTTCTATTTATAGTATATATGCTGCTATATTTTAGCATATACTGCTACATTTTAGCAGTTGTGCTGATAGTTAGTATTGATAAGCTGTCACATTTTATACAGAGGACTTAAAATCAAGGTGTTTATAGCTTTAGATCATCAAAATGTTACCCAGGGAGGTGTTTCCCCAGTGCTCTGGGGTTGGCATTAAATTCACACTCCTTTCTCCTCCACCTCTTACGTTTCTCTCTTTGCTGTAGATTTTTATATAGGGAGGGAGGGGGATGAGAGAAAGTAAAAAATGGAAGAATTCCTGATTTAGGATTTGGCTTAATGAGCTACACCAGCCTCAAAAAGCTGCACTGGCCCCACCATTGGCCCTTCTGTTCCTGCTGGCAGCTGGGCAAATCTGGATCAGCTTGACCAGAATCACCAAAACTCCACTAATTTGGATGTGCTGGGCTTGGGGAGTTTGATTCTTTGGTGTAAATCTGTGATGGCTCTGCCAAAGTCACTGGGCTGGAATTGAGTTTATTCTGGAGGAGCTGGAGGAGTTCAAGGGCCCTGCCTTGGGTTTTTCAGCTTTGGAGAGAGGCTGGAGGGGGTTGGGGAAAGCTTGGGATGAGACAGAGTTGTGGCTGACGAGGCAGAGGGGCCCAGGATGTGGCACTGCCAGCCTGTCCTGTGTGTCCCTGTGACAGCCCTGCCTGGGAGGGGAGGGGGATCTCATCCAGGGGATGTCACATCACACCCCAGCCTGGGATAAAGGAGGATCTCATCCCCAGCCACCACCATCTCTCTGTTCCAGCAGAACTTTTCACTCCCTCCAGCCTTTCCATCTCCTCCTCTGGTGGAAGTGTCAAGTGAGCATTTAAAAATAATTAAAAGGAGATTAAAATTCCTTTTATGTCCTATTACTGTGGGTTTTCATGCTGGCAAACAAGGTGATCTCTTCAGAGACTGTAATATTTCACAAGAAAGGACCCCAGGTGTGGTATTGCTAAAAGAGATCTGAGAAATGACAGCAGAGATGTGCAGCCCTGAGCCTCAGAAACATATTTAGAGCCATTTTTCTATCCAGCTTGCTTTCAATAAAGCAAATTTCATGTCATTGTTTCTTGTGATGCCCAATTAATTGATTACCACAACCTGACACTGCTTATTTAATCACCACGGCACTGTGGGCACAGCTCAGAGGAGTGAATGCAGCTTGGTTTGGTTGGGTTTTGACCCTTCCAAGTGCTTGGAGCTGTGCATGATCAGCCAGAGCCGGGCTGGGGTGGCTGAGGGGTGAGGGCAATCCACTGATCCCTGATTCTGGGGAGACATCAGCCGTGCTCCTTTAGCTGCTGCGTGCTTATCACTGGCTCTGTTTTTAGAAGGCACTAAAGAAGGAGGCTTGAAACTTCTCCCCTTCCCAAGGGAGCTCGGGGAGCTGGAGCATGGAAAAGGAGGATGTGACTCGCATCCACCCCAGCACTTCGAGTGGTAATCACTTCCTTCATCTCTGCATCTGCTTAGGACCAAAAACCCCAACACTGCACTCAAAAAAAGCACTCACAGCTTAAAGGCAGGTGCTGTGTGATGCCAGGGCTCCTGCTGT